ATTTTTATGATTTTTATTCATGTGATTAGCAGTGGCAAAAATGTATGAACAAAATACGTGTATTTATATTAAAAATTAAGTGATCAGTTATGAAACATATAAATCTTTACATGTTCTGTTAAAACAATATCTAAAATAGCAAGCGATAATCCCCAAGTTCTATATCGTAGCAGTGGCCACATTGCGTGTTTGTCACAGACACGGTTTATGTCAAAAATTTTGAAGTGAAACTACCTTCTAAAAATTATTGTATCATGAGTAAAAGTATTTAAATTTAAAACTAAATCAAGAATGAATTAAATAGAATTATAATCTGAATTTGCATGTCGAATGCCTAACGCTGACGAGAGTATATGATAGGATTAGTAGCCTTATGGCTCTTTGGAATCTGTCTTATGGACAGTTGCGCCGGCGTCACCGCCGCCGCCGCCGCCTTAAAGTCTGTCGGCGGAAACCTCTAATGTACATACATAGATGTGCACTTTCATGCATATGAATGTGTGTATTTATACTTAAGCAATATTTACCATATTTAAATCGTTCTCTACTACTAGTACCCCTTCACAGGTCTGCAAGTATCTACATACATATATTTAATTCTAAGGGTATGTCGCATCAAATTATTTTAAAACTCACCCCTTCACAAGGTTTGTTGATTTTCGTGCAGATGCTTTAATTTTCAGAATTTATCACTCACAGTTCCAGCGGTAAACTTTAGTACCGCCTGGGGCAGCATTAGCGAATGAAATATGATAGCTTTATGCATGTAAATACATACATATGTAAGTAGGTTTGTGTTTATACGTACATACATATATCGCCGTTTAAAATGCAAAACCGCGTATCCAGTCATACCAAAATATCGATATTTAAATATTAATGGTCGAGATAATTGGGGATAAAATGAAGGAGAGAACCGTTTTGAAATAAGACAGATTTTACTCTCTCCTGTAAAATTTGGTCAACCTCACATACGAACTAGATAATTTTTATTATTTTTTATTAGCTATTTATGCATTTGTGTTGACACTTCGCCATCTGACTTTTTCTTTTCAGGCGCCAATGGCCTTCTATCCTACATGGCAAGCCGACCCCTCACAGGGCTGGCAGAATCAGTTTATCCAGCAAATCCCACAGAATACTCCACCCATTTCATCGCTCAACTCGTTGGATTTCCAAACGCAGTCATATGCCTACCCATCAAATGGATATGTGCAGACCGGCCTCGGATTCGATCCGAATTATGGGCGCTCCCCATATGGTGCTCCGGTACAGCGTTACGATTTCCAGAGCCAGCAACTACCGACTGCGCCCATTAACCAAGTTGGCCTGCAGGGTGTTGGTTTCAGTCCGGCCGCTGTTACGTACGCCGGTCAGGTGTCGGCAGCACCAGCTCCACCCGCAGTTGGTTTGCAACAACAGCAGCACTTGGGTGTATCTGGTGATTTGAATAAGACGATGTCGGGAAACGACACGCCTGGATATCCGCGAGTGAGCAGCGTGCCGCCGCGCTCACTCAACTGTAACGGGTATTCAGGCGACTACAGCGGCTCAAGTCAACAGCAAACGTCTGCATCAAACAACAGCTCAGCTACGGTAGCAGGCTCCGCTCTTGCCGGAAGCAACTCGAGCACTACTCCACTCAATGGCGGTCAAACTACAGCAGCACCGTCATCGGCTCCAACGGATGCAACACCAATGCAACCGCCTAACGTCTCGTCTGTGCCACAATCGCCGACGCGTAATCTGATGCAACAACAACAGCAGCAACAACAACCCCGCCATGTTTCTCAATCACCGAACCATATTCCTCAATCGCCCAACGGCAATATGCCTTCGGCTCAACAAACCTACGGTGCCAACATTCCACCCTCGTCACATCATAACTCTATGCAACAGCAGCAGCAGCAGCAACAACAACAACAACAACAACAACAAGCACAGAATCATATTTCGTCGCCACCACAATCGCAGCAACAACAACAAATGCAACAGGACTGGAATTGGAACACCCAGCCCCAGCAGACATCTGCAGTTGGCGCTGCAACGGACCCTTACCAGCAGGGCGAACGTGTGAATCTCAACACACGCATCAAATCGATGATACTTCGCAAAAACGATCCCAAAGATCCTCTATCGAGTGCTCCAAGTGATCTGCATATGTCCAACAATCCGGGAGCTATTGGTTCCGGCCCTACCGCGCTCGGTACATCGCAACAACCACAGGCCGGTCATTTTTTATCATATAGCCACCATCTCCGCGGCGATTCAGTGATGAACGCCAATGGTACGACTGGTGCTAATATATCCGGCACACAGTCTTCACAGCAGCAACATCAACAACAGCAGCAAATGCAGGGCATTCAAACGTCCAGTAGTGTGGGCCTTACACCCGGACATAGCACATTAGCGCCAGAACCAATAGGAGGTGGTGGCGATCAAATTTGGAAACCACACCATACAAATTCGTTTAAGAAACCAGTGGCAAGTAGTTTTCCAGCACCCGAACATCACCATCAACAACAGCATACTACAATCAGTCATGGTGGGCACACCACCATTGCACATTCTGAACCACAACCAAAAAAATCGAGTCGTAAAAGTAAAAGTCGGGCGGCAGCAGCAGAGGCAGCAGAACATGATAAAAATAGTAATGATCCTGGTGGTGGGCTGCATGGTCCTGTACATGGTTCACACAGCATAAAATCTATGGATAAGACTGGCTACCCTCCCTCCCATGGCTATCCGCCGCCACAACATCCCGACTACCACACACCGTACATCAAAACTGAGCCCGGCCTCTTGCCCACCCAGCATACCAAAATGGAGGGCTATGAACGCAACTACCAAAATTTTATACAATATGCTGATTTTTGCCAGAACGAAGTGCAGGGCATGCCATCACAACAGCAACACCATCAGAACCAGCAGGACTATGCGAGTTATCACAACTCACCATACTACGGCAGCTCAAGCTCATTCCAACAGAGCTATCAACAGAACTTCGTACCAGGCTATCAGCATTCATCAGCAGGCATGGGTTACGGCAGCACGCATGGCATGCATCCGCATCATTCAAGCTCTTTGGGACATTCTAGCCACCTGAAAGCGTCCAATGGGCCACTAATGAAGAGTAGTAATAGCGTCGGTTTGCATCATCACAACAATCACTTGATGGATATTGATCGGAAGCCAGATACCAATAGCATTATACCCTTACCCACAAACTACGAGAAGGACATACCAGCGCATGCCTATCCCATACCACCTCATCGGTACCATCTAGGCCCAACACCTTCCCATTTAGGTCACACCATGATCGAGCCCAAAATTGAAGACATGGGCGTACTGGGCCATAACGCCGGTTACCCATTTTTAGGCGAAGGCGGGCCGGCGGCCATCAAAAATAGTAGTGGCTTTTCGTGTTGTCGTCAAGGCAGCACCCGCACACCCACCGCTGAACACCTCAAGGATGGGACTTGTACAGGCATCCAGACCAAGGACGAAATCATGGAGGAGCCGGTAGAGGAGCCAGCAGAAATTAGCTGTGGCACGAAGCCTAAGAAGAAGGGTGCAAAGCAAGAAGATAATGAAATTGTGGTTAAGCATGAAAAAATCAATCCTTTGTTCGATACCTCAGATCGGCTGGAAAAGGGCAATAAGACGGAGATACCTGAGTGCGAATGCTTCCATTCCGATAAAAATCCACCAGAACCAGGAACATACTATACCCATCTCGGTGAGTCGTAATGTGTTCCCAGGCATGTAGATGACTAAACACTAAAACTTACTTATTTATTTTAGGCACTGCTTCGACACTGGCCGAGTTGCGTAGAGAATTCGAAGAGCGTTGCCAGATATCCGGTAGGCAGCTGCGTATAGAGAAAATCATTTACACAGGCAAGGAAGGCAAAACAACCCAAGGTTGTCCACTAGCGAAATGGGTTATCAGGCGCGCCGATCCAGAAGAAAAAATTTTGGTTGTTGTAAAGAAGCGGCCAGGGCATAGGTATAGAGAATATTAATATTTAAATCTCTAAAGATTTCTTATAGACTAATGTTTGATTTATAGGTGCGCAGCAGCTTTTATAATTGTTTGTATGGTTGCTTGGGATGGTATGCCACGTCTTGAGGCGGATAATGCTTATAAAAATCTGATACCAAAGCTCAATAAATTCGGACTTCCAACAACGCGCCGTTGTGCCACAAACGAAAGTCGCACATGTGCGTGTCAAGGTATGTTATCTTTCTTTCTATTTCTGGCTGGATTAAATTTTCTAATCACCTTATTTACCCTCGATAGGCCTCGATCCAGAAACTTCAGCTGCATCCTACAGTTTTGGCTGCTCTTGGTCTATGTACTACAACGGGTGTAAGTATGCCCGCTCAAAGACTGTGCGCAAATTCCGACTCTCTGTAAAGAGCGAAGAGTCGGTTATCGAGGATCATATGAATCTTTTAGCCACGGCATTGGCGCCGTTGTTCAAACAAGTATGCCCTCGGTCATATGACAATCAAACTAAGTACGAGAAGGAAGCGACAGACTGTCGACTCGGCCTGGAAACTGGCCGACCTTTCTCGGGCGTTACCGCTTGCCTAGATTTTTGTGCACACGCTCATAGAGATCTGCATAATATGCAGGACGGGTGTACAGTGCAGGTGGCACTGCTGAAGCCTTCCAACCGTGATGGCCGTCCGCCTGACGATGAGCAGCTACACGTGCTGCCGCTCTACACCATGGACACAACGGACGAATTTGAGAGTATGGAGGGCCAACGGGAGAAACATCGCACCGGTGCGGTGCAAGTATTGGACAAGTGAGTGTAGTGTTGAGTTTTGAAAGCTCCCTAACGGTGATCCCTTAAAAACAGAGCCCCCCATAACACAAACTTGTCTTCTTTGCACTTTCAGATTTTCTTGC